AAGGATGAGTCAGCATCACACTTTCTGTCAGGAGAGATAGGTGAGGACTCAGCTGCATCGTACTTACCATCAGGTGAGAAGGATGCTAGCCTTGGTGGTACTTCAAGTCCGCGGAAATCGAAGAAAAGCCGCCTGAATAAAATTCCTGATCCTCATTTTCATGAAGAAGTTCAGGATGATGCAACCTTTGAGGAGAAGGAAAAGGCGGTGGAGAAGATAAGAGAGGTCAGAGAGGATGATGGAGAGAAGAAATTAGAGGCTGAAATTCAAGAATCTTTTCCATCTGAAGTAGTTGTTGATCCAGATACAGTGGATGTTGACAATACCTATGAGTTGCATACTTCACCTTTGAAGTTGCTGGGAGAACTTACAGGAGATCCAGGTATTGGCTTTTATCAACAATGCTTCAGGGAAACTCACGCAAGATTGTTGAACCATGTTTGTTTCAGAAAAGGTGAGATTTCCCATCCTCACTATCAGTCAATGATCAACGAGGATGACTTTGTTCGATCCATACGAAGGATCTGTCCAGTACCTCCACCTGATTGTTATGAGGACAGCTCAGAGCATGATTTGAAGAGATTTTTCATCAATGATGACCGCATCATTTATTTGGATGACAAGTATCAGGTCGATCCAAGGGCCCTTGAAAGGGCAGAACAAGCTCGAGCAGATTTGGAGGTGACAAAGAACCAATTTAGAGAAGAACTGGAAACATATGGTCCCAAGGGACCCAGTTGGGACTATGTCATCTTCTATGAAGAGCTGTACAGAAGGTTCCTCAAAGGAAGAATAGAAGAACAATATGGAACTAACTTATTGGCCAGCTCAGAGTCCTTGACATTTTTACCCTGGAACTATGGCAACATGGTTCGTGGTCAGAAATACACCACACCAAGGTTTCTCCAAGGACTGGATCGTGCAATGAAGCCACGCAAACAGAGTGACATGTCACTTCAATATGAGCAATTTGAAAACAACCTTTTCTTCAACATGCTCTTCTTTTTACGTGCACATGTCGTGATTCTCCAGGAAGCTCATCTCCTTGTTCCCGCCAAGGATTTTCTCGAGCAAAAGAATTGGACAGTTTGTTTCAATGATTGGGAGAATCTTGCAGTGATGGCTAGAATTGCACCAGATGGCTATATCAAGGTCATTGCTGGACATGACCAAGACCTTGGTCACTGTCAACAGCGTGATGTAACTTGGGCTATCTATGAGATTTGTTTTGGAGAAACAAGGCCTCGTCAAGATTTCAAGGATGCAGACTTTGAATTTGAGGACTATGGTCCTAGAGACCAGCGTGTGCCACTTACACGAGCGAACATGCATAAAATCAGAGTCTGTAATTATCATGTGGACACACACCGTGCAGTGGATGCCCACTTATTGACAGGAGAACAGACAGCATTGATGCTTTATGAGTGTTTTGTATATGAGGTGGACATCATTTCTGGTGATGCAAATAGTTTGGCCTACAGAATGTCTGGGTACAAAAGGCAGCCAATGGCTAACTATTATTACAGCACCATGCAGCATTGGATCCGCAGGCAGATCCTGGTATCAAAACACCTATTCCCAGAACATTTTACAGTTCATCTTCACATGTCCTTAAGCAGTGTGAAGTTTACTTTGAGAAACTCTGGAAGGAATACTCTACAGAAGAAAAAGAGACATACCAGGGATCAAGGCTTGGCGATACGTGTTTGTCTACCATTGTTGAATGGGGTCATTCAATGAGTGAAAAGGAATATACAGATTCCACAGTGGACACGAAGGAGTTCATCTGTAATTTTTCAGAGAATTTTGCTGTGATTGACACGGAGGTTATGTGTTCAAGACCCTCTGACGAGGACAGTCATGGTCCAATGTTTATTTCACTCAGACCAGCTTCCCTCTCATCTGGGGACAGGAAGCTTTATCGCGCGGGCGAGACTCTTCGAGAGGCGAACTTGCGGAGGAAGGAGAGACAGAAGCAGAACAAAAGGAAAGGAAGGCCGTCAACTTCTGAACAAGCAGCTTCATCGACTGCAGCGGCAGAAACTTGGAGCAGAGGCTGAATCTTAATTAATGGCTAGGAAGTGAAGATACTTCTGATTACAGTTGATACTTTGCTTTCAGGCTTGATTTTAAGTTGCCAGGCTGAAGTTTTAAGCTTTAGCACGCAGATGAATATAGTTTTACTAAACGGATATTATCTGCAGGTAGGTATGGACAGTTTTACAAAACTGATGATATCTACCACAGCCGCTCTTTAGAAGTGACCTCTAATGGACAACCATTTATGGTTGATGATTAATTCATTTTATGAATTGCAATTGTAGTGCAAGATTTTTGTACATACATTTGCCGGTATCTCCTTCCTTTTTGTTTTTGGCTGATTTTGGTATCAATGTGAGAGAGAGAGTCCTTTTGATGCATTTCAATTTTTGGTATAAGTCCTGTGTATGGAAGCGGCCGAGTCCACTTTTCGAGAAGACCATTCCTCGGACCGAATCATGTACGCTCCTTGCATTTTGCAAGGCATTTTAATTCAGTGCATTTTGTGCGGTCTTGAAATTTTTGTTCTTTCGTTACGCGGGTGTCGTTTACTGTCTTTCTAGGTCTCTGTGCAAAAGAAGCCGCTTTCTTTTTGAATTTAGAATTTTCTAAAGGATTGACAGCTCTGGCTATTTAAGGGCTATTGAGCGCCGGTGCATGGTATCTTCGCCGGTGAACGATACAGTCTCCAGCCGAGATACATTGTTTTTGACTTTGTATTTGAGGTGAGTAAGCTATCGCTCCCTCACTGTATCTAGTATACCTTGAGATTACCTCTCCTATAGTGTGTAACACACTAGAATTGGTAAGTACAAGGCACCGTAGTTTCCTTTTAAGCTTACTAGAGCTTGCTGGACTGTTTTAGCCTTAAGGTGGAAAAATAGTATGCAACATACGCAATAGGCTGGAGTGGACATGAATTTTGTGCCTGCTGAAATGTAAAGGCCTACTTGTACAGGTTCCACTCCAGTGGCCTATCTAGTGTGTCCATGCTTGACTGCCATAAGGCTCAAGAGGATAAGACTCTGCGCATAAAAGACACTAGCGGTCTGCACATCAACCGTGTACGCCCTAGTCACTCTTTCACCCCCCGGGGCCCCCCCCGGGGGCCGGGGAGGCGAGGTTTGAAACCCTCGTTTTTGTTCGCAAAACAAACAATCTTCTTTGCACGGTGTTTGTTGGGGTTGAAACAACGTTTGTTTAAAACTTTGGCTCGCGATGTATCTCTTATACATATGTCATATATATATATATATTCTTCCTTGGCCGGGGGCCTGGCCGGACGGAGCTTGCGAAACGTAACTCTCTGCGTAGACTGCACGCGTCGGATGCTCAAACGTGAGGCGAAATGCGAGCTCCAGGTCCGCCAACGTGAGGTGAAATGCGAGTTTGGGATGAGTGTGGGTGAGCCGTTTGCGGAGATCCTGCATGTCGAGTGTGCAACCGTAAGGTGAAGTGCAAATCTAAGGTCGGTGAAACGTTTGCGGAGATCGTCTGCGCGCGCGGCCAAAGTGTGAATCCTTGTTGAAAACGAAGGCGGCTTCCGCGAGGCTTAGTGTTGTCTCTAGTCTGTGTGGCACACCGCACAGCGAAATTACGTCTTTAATGTCGCTGTGCCATGAGGCTTGGCGCACCGGGTGGCCAAATCAGAGCCATTAATTAATGTCCTCTGAGCGCCAGGTACACCTGCCTACGCGACGCGTCTTTCAAATGTGCACTTCAAATGCCTTCCCATGCTCTGCAGTACACCTGAATACTGGCGCGTTTGTTTTCCACGCTCCTGTGCCATTCGTCGTCTAGTTTGTTCGTGTGTCCTTCTGCAAACACAACGAGATTTGAGTGGTCCATCATGGTCTACCTATGTCTACCTCATTGACTGCAGAATGAACAGTGTTGGCTGCAAAACACCATAAGATACACGTATGCGAAGAGCAAGCAAGGCATGAAGGATCAAGGTTGAACATGAAGGTGCATTGCATGGAGGGTCAAAGATAAATCTAGAATGATGAACCCTTTGCACAAGCATTGACGCGTGCCAAGCATTCATAGACCCATCACGCGCTAGACCCATCACGCGCGGCAATATATTCTACTCGCCTCAAGCAGGTCACGAAATGTAGCCTCGGCTACCTAAGCTCCCCTTGCTTTTGCAAAATGATGTGGGGGCGGTAGAAGTCTACACTGCTTGATTTCGATGATTTGAGTATTGGTTTCAGATGTCCGGGAGGTTAAGCCCTCCCGTGCCCTCGTTCGATTCCATTGTGTTTTAATGGCGACATTGTGGCTGATCAGGCTTGCTTTGATGCTGCTTGCTGCTTCCTGCCAGCTTATTGCTGCTGCTGCTGGTTGCTGGTTTGCTGCTGCGGCTGCTGTTGGTGGTGTCTGCTGCTGCTGGCTGCTGGTTGCTTTTGCTTCTGTTACTGCTGCTGCTGTTGGTGGTGAGACTTTGCTTCTGTTGCTGCTGCTGCTGCTTTGCTGCTGCTTTGCTGCTGCTTTGCTGCAGCTTTGCTGCTGCTTTGCTGCTGCTTTGCTGCTGCTTTGCTGCTGCTGCTGCTGCTGCTGCTGCTGCTCCTGCCTGCCTGCTGCTGCTGCTGCTCCTGCCTGCCTGCCTGCCTGCTGCTGCTGCTGCTCCTGCCTGCCTGCTAGTGCTGCTGCCTGCCTGCGCTGGCTGCCTGCTGGTGCTGGCTGCCTGCTGCTGCCTGCCTGCTCCTGGCTACCTGCTGCTGCCTGCCTGCTGCGGCTGCCTGCTGCTGCCTGCCTGCTGCTGGCTGTCTGCTGCTGCCTGCCTGCTGCTGGCTGCCTGCTGCGGCTGCCTGCTGCTGGCTGCCGGCTGCCTGCTGCCTGCTGCTTGCTGCTTGTTGCTTGTTGCTTGCTGCCTGCTCCTCTTCAGAATCTTCCAAGCTCTACCTTTCGTCCGCCTCCATCGCCTCAAGCTTCTGATAGTTGCCCAGCGGGCGCAGGCAGAAAATGAAATGTACGAGAGGAAGCTTGATGTTGACAATGAGCAGACCGAGCAAGTGGATGAAAAGAGGAAGTTCGAGCCTTATGAGTCATATGAAAGGTTTGCGTTTTCATGTTTCATTCTAGACTCTAGACTCTTCTCAAGCGCTCCCAAGAAGTATTGACAAACAAGGAGTCGAATGGACTTCTTTCAGGAATTGGAGTACGCATGGTGCCTTGAGATGCAAAAGTTGCGTGTTTCATGTTTTTTTGCTGCGCTACGAGCAAAGTGGGCTTTGCAAGTATTTGCTCATTTGTGTATGTTTTGCTGTCCTCGTGCTCTCGGACAAAATTCACCGAAGCATATCAATCCTTCAACCCTTTCCACAAAGGTTCGGCTGCGCAAAGTGTTTTGATTTCCTCAAGAGTTGGAAGTTTCAATCTGCACATGCTTGCACTTGCAGTTGAGGTTGCCATACCTGGAGGAATACTACGAAACGCTGACTCCAGAGATGCGGAGTTTGGATTGGCGCCAAGAGGCATTGCTCGCGTTGAGCACTCTGTGACATCCGACACCAGCCTTGCCCTAACAAGTAGTCAAACAGATGTTACTCGTTTTCATTTTAGAAAGACGTGGCAACGGCGGAAAATTTGTTTGAACATCGGAAGGACCTTTGGCGATTGCACCCTCAACAACGGCGTGAATGCTATCGGCAATGGCTACTGGAGGCAAAGTGTTCTTTTTGGGGCCCAAGGTCGGCAACCTTCAAAGGCAAGCGAAAGGATGCAATTCACAAACAGTGCAGCAAGGCGCATGAAGAAGCCAGAGGAATTCTGCCAGAGCTGGCACATTTGCTGGAGAGGAATGCCGAAAGCAGGGCAGTTTTGCTCTCAGATGTCCAATTCATGCTTTGCTACCGCACTGATGCCTTAATCCACAAGGCTCTGGATCGCGATCGCAAGCTGGCAGTTCTCCGCGAGATGCAGGCTAGTCTCATCCAGTCGTAAGTCAGAATGGTTGGGGTATCCAGCTTCACGGCATGGCACAAGCATGGGCACGCCATTGAGAAAAGCATAAGCAACACGATTCCAAGGTTGTTGGAATGACGACAACCGCTGTCTCCAAATATCAGCTCCTCCTCAAGGACCAAAGTGACCAAGGTATGTAGCAGGCATGACAGATGACCCTGAAATTAAGGAGGTGTACAAAATCAATTCGAATATATACATTTATCGACATACTGCAATGGTGGAATCATATCATTTCCCAAATTCGCCAAACTAGTTGCTTTCTTACAAAATTCGCTCCACTTCGTCAGGAGCTGCGACCAGAAATCGTGATTGTGGAAGAAGCCGCAGAAGTATTGGAAGCACAGCGCCCAGAGTCGGAGTCCGTTCCCAAATGTGTAGCGAAAGGTTCTCGTTTAACTGTGGGGGGTTGGGGGTAAACTCTTGTTCGCGACCCATTGTCGTAGCGACCGCAACCGTTCGCGGTAGACCTCTGTGGCGCTGACATTGGGCGAGGCTTTTGGAGAAGGCTTTGGATGGAAGCATGACGTGTCGGATTCGTGCGATATATACATATATATATATAGGAAACGTGTGGAAACGTTGTTGTGGAGACTTAACGCGTGACTTTTGGAGGGAGTCTCGTACGAAACGCTCGTTTTGGAGACTGGAAATGTGACTTTTGGAAGAAGTCTCGCAAGGACGTACATACAAGAGTGTTCAACAAGAGTGTCCCGCAAGAGTGCCCCACAAGGGTGGCGTGTCCACAAGAGTGTCCTACAAGAGTGTCTCCTACAAGAGTGCCCTACCACAAGAGTGTCAAACAATGCTTGGCCGCTTGTTTTCGAGTGCGTGTGTGCACTCGGGTTCGTGGGCTACATTATTCTACTTGCTGTTCTTGGAGTCAGCCTGATATAGTCGTGGTATCTATTTATTGTGTTTTTTGTGTGGGCTGCTTAATTTGTTTTCTAAATGTATGTGATGTAGAGTTGAGCAAGGGTCTTTTCCCGAATGCATAGCGAAGGGTTCCCGTCCATACTTGGGCCTGGGGGTTGCACCTGTGTTCGGTTCGCGTGCTCTGTGTCATCGTCTGTCGTCGTCGCGTCGTCGCTAATTTGTCCACATTGGGCAAAAACTTTTGGAGAGGGCTTTGGATGGAAGCATGACGTGTCAGATTCGTGTGAACTGGCGAGGAAACGTGTGGAAACCTGAGATGTTGAAGTGTGGAGGATGATTTCACTGCGCAGGCGCAGCGTTTTGTGCGCAATTTTCTGCGTAGTCAGATTGGGATCGGCGTTTGGAGGGTGGTGTTTTGTTGGATGTGGCTGTGACATCGGGGTTTGCGTTCCAGGGTGTTGCGTCGAAGCTGTGTTTTCTTGACAGGTCTCAGCCGAAATGGTGATTTTGGTGGATGGGAGCGTGTTCAGAACGAACGCGTCGAAATCATTCCAAACCTGTGGCATGGTGCAAAATTTGCTGAAGCTAACGTGATATGATATACGGTCATTTTTCGTGGCAGGCACAGTGCTTTGTGCGGTTTTTGAGGTGTGGAAGTGCAATTATTTTCGTGGCAGGCGCAGGGAACCGTGAGGGCGCGAGGTGTGGCGGAGGTCATATTTCGTGGCAGGCGCAGTACTTTGTGCGCGTTGGAGGTGTGGACGGACTTCCTCCACAAGTCACGTGTCAATCCTCCGAAGCGAGCGCGTCGTACGAGACTTCCTCAAAAACTCACCCTTCAAGTCTGCAAAGCAAGCGTTTCATACGAGACTTCCTCCAAAAGTCGCGTGTCAAGCCTCCACAAGGAGCGTCTCGTACTGCCAAGCAGGTTCGCGATTCCATCCCCTCCAAACAACACCTGCTCAGACGCCAATCCCAATGTCACGGCGACATACACCTCCACCACAGTTCGCAACCTCGCGATTCTCGTACGAAACGCTCGTGTCGGAGGATTGACGTGTGAATATTGGAGGAAGTCTTGTACGACGTGCTCGTTTTGCACACTCGTTTTACAGGGATTGACGCGTGACTTTTGGAGGAAGTCTCCAGCGAAACGCTCGTTTTGCAGACTTGAAGTGCGAGTTTTTGAGGAAGTGTCGTACGAAACGCTAGTTTTGCAGACTCGAAGTGCAAGTTTTTGAGGAAGTACTCGTACGAAACGCTCGCGTTGGAGGGTTGAGGCGCGAATTTTGGAGGAAGTCTCGTCCGAAACGCTCGTTCTGCACACTTGAAGTGTGAGTTTCTGAGGAAGTCTCGTACGAAACGCTAGTTTTGAGACATGACGAGGCTTTCGTAGTAGTGTTTCAATCAGGGTCCCACAATCCCGCGAGGGTGTTCCATAAGAGCGTCCTAAAAGAGTGTCCTACAAGAGCGCCCCACAAGAGTGTCCCACAAGAGTGACCGACAAGAGAGTCCGATAAGAGTGTCCGACAGGAGTGTCCGACAGGAGTGTCCTACAAGAGTGTCCCACAAGAGTGTCCCCCAGTGTTCCACAAGAGTGCTCAAGAGTGTCCCGCAAGAGTGTTCCATAAGAGTGTCCGACAAGAGTGTCCTACAAGAGTGGTGTCCCACAAGAGTGTCCGTCAAGAGTGTCCTATAAGAGTGTCCGAAAGGGTGTCCCACAAGAGTCTCCTACAAGAGTGTCTCACAAGAGTGTCCGACTAGGGTGTCCGACAAAAGTGTCCCACTATAGTGTTCCACAAGAGTGTTGGACAAGAGCGTCCCGCAAGAGTGTTCCGTAAGAGTGTCCGACAAGAGTGGCCCGCACGAGTTCCCCACAAGAGCGTCGTACAAGAGTGTACGACAAGAGTGTCCTACGAGGGTGTCCTAAAGGGTGCCCCACAAGAGTCTCCTACAAGAGTGCCCCACAAGAGTGCCCTGCAAGAGTGTCCCTCAATAGTGCCCGACAAGAGTCTCCTACAAGAGTGTCCCACAAGGGTGTCCCACAAGAGTCTCCCACAAGAGTGTCCCACACGAGTGTCCGACAGGAGTGTCCTACAAGAGTGTCCGACAATAAGACTGTTGGACACGAGTGTCGTGCAAGAGTGTTCCATAAGAGTCAAGAGTGTCCTACACAAGAGTTCCCCACAAGAGTGTCCCACAATAGTGTTCCACAAGGGTGTTCGACAAGAGCGTCCCGCAAGAGTGTTCCATAGGAGTGCCCGACCAGAGTGTCCTACAAGAGTGCCCCACAAGAGTGTCCCAGAAGAGTGTCCTAAAGGGTGTTTCACAAGAGTCTGCCCCACAAGAGTGTCCTACAAGAGTGTCCTACCAGAGTCACCAGAGTGTCCCACAAGAGTGTTCCACGACAAGTGTTCCATAAAAGTGTCCGACAAGAGTGACCTACAAGAGTGTCCCACAAAAGTGTCCTACAAGAGTGTCCGGCAAGAGTGTCCCACAACACCTTGCCACAAGAGTGTCCCGCAAGAGTGTTCGACAAGACTGTCCGACAAGAGTGTCCTGCAGGAGTGTCCCACAAGAGTGTCTTACAAGGGCCCCACAAGAGTGTCCTACAGAAGTGTCCCGCAACAGGTTCCCGCAAGAATGCCCGACAAGGTGCCTGACAAGAGTGTCCTACAAGTGTGTCCCACAAGAGTGTCCCGCAAGAGTGCCCCGCCCACAAGAGTGTCCTACCAGAGTGTCCCACGAGAGTGTCCGACAAGACTGTCCTGCAAGAGTGTCCCGCAAGAGTGTTCCGCAAAAGTGCCCCACAAAATTGTTGGACAAGAGTGTCCTACAAGTGCCCCACAAGAGTGCTTGACAAGAGTGTTCGTCATACAAGAGTGTCCGACACCAGTGTCGCACAAGAGTGTCCCATAAGAGTGTCCTACAAGAGTGTTTCGCAAGAGTGTCCTACAAGAGTGTTCCGCAAGGGTGTCCCACAAGAGTGAGTGTCATACAAGAGTGTTCCACAAGTGACATACAAGAGTGTTGGACAAGAGTGCCCCGCAAGAGTGTCCCACAAGAATTGTCGGACAAGGGTATCCTACAAGAGTTTCCCACAGGAGTGTCTCCTACAAGAGTGTCAAAAATTGTTTGGCGTTTGTTATCGAGTACGTGTTTGTATTCGGGTTCGTGGGTTTCATCATGCTTTTATCGTTGCTTCGCCCCCCCACAGAAACTAAATATCCGTAATGCGTAAAGGTCAAAGATGTTTGCAGTCAATGGAGTTCCTTCTTGACAAACAATGTTTCACTTGGACTGGCAAGTTTGATGCCTTGGTTTTCGCTCCGACTCACGCGCGTCAGTGTCCATTTCCGCATATCGCACGATTCAGAGGCTCAACGACTCAGCAAACGGAGCTTCATGCAGTCTTCACGTAACCAATTGACAAAGATAGACTACTCCTGAAGCGCTTCAGATCCTCCGATCTTCCAACCTCGAAGCTAGACAACACGTGCGAAGATGACCAAACTTTTGTCTATATGTCTCCCTTGGAAGCTCAAGAAGCCTTTGTACAGATTGTTCCAGAACGCAGCTTTGAAGGCCAAAGAAGTATATATAGTTTTCATTTCTTGGCTTTTGAAGTGCAGCTGCCTCGAGCAAAGCGTACTTGGTGAGAGGCCAACATGGGTTCCTACACATCTGGATGCGCCGGAGATTGTGAGAACTGCAGTGCGCCCAGGGCAGAAAGTCACCATCACCTTTGCGGGGTTCCACAATTGTTCGACCACTGCAAGGCTGCGTTGTCTTATTGCTGCCCACAAAGACTCGCCCAGACACAAACTTAATGCAAGCGCATGCCACTGAGGTACAGCATGCACACGCAATGGGCCACGCCATCTATTTATCTAGTAAAGATATGATATGGCACATGAGCATGGCCCGACAGCCTGATGGTCGGTCGTTTTGACCCCCTTGGAAAAAGCGCCAGGTGCGGGCACTTGTGCCTTGCACAGGATAAAGAGCAGAAAGCATTCATGAAGACCTTCACCGTGAATGCAACTGTCACAAGCTGAGCACAAACCCTTCTGTCTCCGCAGCTGCTTCTAGACATTGCGGGGGCGGGTCTTTCTGGCAGCAGGAAATGCAGCAAGCCTGCCTTTTGCTTCATTTTTCCTGGAGCCACTGTGGGGGGTGGCAAGTAGTACTGACAGGCTTCGCCAACCGGCGATGCCCGTGGGGGGACTGCGTGCGTGCGGACTATATGGCTTCCTCCAATATCAGACATGTTCTTCAAAAAACACTAAAAACATTATCCCGGCAAGAGACCCCAAACAGTGTGTGTGTGAGGCCTTTTAAGCAGAAAGTCTAGAGATCTAGACGCATTGGTCAGAGAGGTGATGGTGGTGATCAAGGTGGGGACCCATTTCCATGCCCACTCAGGCAGTGACTCACCAAGGATCTTGACGCCATCCATCTTAGTTGCTGATGCATTGAACACACCTTCTTTTGTTTGCTGCTTGCAACACTCCTTTGTTTCCTTTTCATGAACACCATAGTCAAAGAAAGTCAAAGACTACTTGCTGCACAGCCTTTTCAAAAGTTGCAATCCATTGGCAACCATCACTGCCCAGGTCCAGGTGCCAAACCCAGGAGCAAACTCGCAAGCCAAACAGCTACTGCACAGCCTTTACAAAAATTGCCGTCGTCCATTGGCAACCAATGTTCCTTGGCGGTTCCTCTGTGCTCTCGCACATCAGCAAAAAGGGCTCTGCAAGGCGGCCCTGAGTCAGTCAATAACAAATGTTTCTTTGATACGTGTGTCTTTGATCAAACTTGATTGCTCACACACACACATGCACATGTGAGCTTTTGACTCTTGAATTGGACTCTTGAATTTAACAGCAATCAGGTACTGAAGACCATTTGCAACTGGGCCACGTGAGACAGCTGGCCAATGACATTTTGCCCATGCCATTGGAACCTGGCTGCGAGATAGAAGCCAGTCCTCCTCATGTAACTCGAGTTGAGGCTCAGGAGAGCTGAGGAGAGTGAAGGCTCAGTGGCCACAGAGCGATCGATCAAGCGCTGTGCCCCATCAAGTAAGGTATCTCTGCACTGCCTTGGCCAATACCAAATGTGTCCAATCACATTGTTGCTCATGAACCAACCAACATGCAAGAACAGCAGGAAAAAAAAACAAGCTTTGTTCGCAGACAAGTGACAAGAGGACATTGGAAAACCTGACCTTGTCAAAGTCAACCAAGAACCCTGCTTCTGGAGGGCCGTGATCAACGTCACTGTTCATCCGAGGTCGAAAGTACCTGATGAAGAGAATGCAATGGCTACTGAACTTCCCACAATGGCTACTACTTACCTTGGTTGCATTGCAGAGTCATAAACAACCTTACTTACTGCATTCATGCAAGCTGCTGATCTTGCAATGCTGCTGGCTTACGGTCCAGGACCAAGCCCACCAGGCCCCAAATTTATTTGATCTCAGAACTCTCCTCCTCCATTGATCAGAGCCCTGGTTTCCTCATCAGACAAGTTCCTGACCATCTCCACCAAAGAGTTGGATGCCATGACGCTCACAGAGTAAGGACTGCAGTAAGTAACCCCTCAATCAAAGTCAAAGCTGTGGACCACAGGCAATCATACAAGCAGAGTTCAATGACAGCACCCACGACACCATGAACGGACATGTGCAATCTTACCTGCCACCCACAAGTTGTGCAAAGTTTGAATCTCCCATCAACTCCAGGCACCTTCCCAACCATCAAAGGTTTGCGCAAAATAGCATTGAAACCACCACCTGGCCGCAATACAGGGTCACATCAAGCCCAGCAAAAGACATGTTTGACAATTTGACATGAACTCACCAAAACTTCACTTCAACTTCACAGCCATGGGTCTAACTTCTTGATCACCTTGACATGCAAGAACACATGAACAAACTCCACATGAACACATACATGAACCAACTATGAACATGCAATATCGGGTGCCCCGACTCTCTCAAAGTTGGTCACGACCTGTGCGCAGACCTGTCATCTACAACTGCTTGTATGTAACAATCACGGCACTTGTGTCCACACCTGAGCACAGCACTGCCGTACTTTGACCAAATGGCCATCAGCCATCACCCCAGAAGCAGGCCAAAGACAATGGCCTGGCAATCACTCTGGTTGGCACTACCTACACTATAAGTCACTAAGCCTGATAACCTTCCACAACATGACTGCCCAAGTCTTACTTGTGACTCATGAAAAGGAAATGTCCAGGCCTTGAAGAAAAAAGGTCAGCACCACCACCAGCCAGCATCTCAACCCAAGGCTGAGACAATCAAATGCAGCAGAAGCACACCCCTCCCAGAGCATAGCCAGCTGTAAAGCTCTCAGGTTCCCACAAAGAACTCAATGAAGCTGAGGAAGCTGCAATGACCTGCAGGAAGGTAACCATAATCCCCCTGGCTGGAAACCAGCCATTCCTAATGGCTGGCTGGTGGTAGATCCTATGGCATTACACAGCTAAAGTCAAAGTCAAAATGATTTTCCTTAGCCTGACAATGTCTGTACAACGTTGTATCTTGTTTGTTTGTACTAGCGGAGAATGACCAACTGCACATCTTGATCATAAATGTTGTTCACAATGATGAAAGCCATTGGCTTCTACCCACTTCTTCCTTGCCGTCCAAAATTACCCAGTAGAGGCTATCATATGCCAAAACGGTCATCTTTGAACCAAGGATCCGGGTTTGCAACCCGATGTCGAAGCCGATGGGCTTTTGCGCTGAAAAGCTCTTCAAGCACCACCTTCTCAAGGAGTAACGGGAATGGCTCAGTCACCTTCTCAATTCGGTCATAGCCAACTTTCTCCAGAATGGAAAATTCAGCGAAACCAAATTTTGGCTGCGGCAATGCAATATCAAAACCTTGAGTGATGTAGTTGACATGGCTCCCACCAGTTAACTGCATTGTTATGCAAGAAAACAGAAACAGAAACTAGTGCTAATTTTGCAAAGCATTCAAACCTTCATTTTTCAGAGCAAGACACTGTCGCATTGGGTTGTTTCAGCTGTCGCCGCATCAGACTCCATTGTCAGCGGTGCAAGCACTAGAGGCAGAAGAAGTTTCAATGCAACTGTCAAGCATCTGCTCTGAACAGTCAAAGTCAAAGCTGCGGAACAAACCTATACTCAAGCAAACTCAATCAAAACACACCCATCCAAAATGCTGTGTACGTATGAGAAATTCCTGCCTCGTTCAACTCGTTTTCTTCCAAGCCTTGACAGGCACAAATAAAAACACAGTCAAGATTGCCATTGCTATCACCTGAACATGTTTGCCGCAAGTTTGATGAATGACACTTCATGAAATTGTCTCAGCCTCAGACTCTAAGGACGCTTGACCATCACCCATGCTCACGCAATGTTATGTCATCGTTTGTTTGTAAGTTCAAGCGTTTGTTTGATCTACTGACTGTGTGTATGTGTTGTAACTCAAAGTCAAAGACAAAGAAAGGGTGCTGCAAACAAAGTACATGGACAAGGCTACTAAACAACAACAACAACAACAACAACAACAACAGCAACAACTACAACTACAACAACAACACCAGCAACAACAACAACAACAACAACACCAGCAGCAGCAGCAGCAACAACAACACACAAACACCAAAAAAGTCAACGTCATCTAGTCAGTCCACTCTCTCTCTCTCTCACTCTGTTCCTCTCTCTCTCTGTCTGCCTGCCTGCCTGCCTGTTTGTCTGCCTGTCTGTCTGTCTGTCTTCCTGTCTGTCTTCCTGTCTGTCCTGTCTGTCCTGTCTGGACCACGCCAATACCTCGGTGCCGCCAGACCGAAAAACCCTGGCCTTGAAGGTTTCAACGGAGCAGGGAGCGACCGTTGCCAGTGCCTAACGTCCCTTCGAAGCCCTATGTAGAAAAGAGGTGGTGTCTAGGCCAGCCCCAGGACCAGGGCAGCTGCCAGAGGACCAGAGGGGCCAGAGCAGATCGCTTCTGTCCCAGGCGCCGCCCCGCCTAGGCATCAACTAGGCTGGGGTCGGCGGATTAATCAGTTTCGGGGTCACAGCAACTTTTGCCGCAGCCATCTCGAAGCTCGAAAGAGACATGTCTCTGGCCCAAGGCACCTGACCATGACAACGTCTCTCCAGAGTTTCCAGCTCAGGCTTTCACGGAGCATATTGACAGTATCTTCCGAGAGAAATACTTGTCTCAGGATCGCACATTGGTCTCAGGTTGTTGGTAGCTTGCACTGCCAGGTGCTCTCATTTCCACGCAACGGCAGCACAAGCATCAGGTCTCTGATTCTTAACATACATACTTAAATGAATGCACGCACTGTGTACAGTATACATACAGGTCACCATTACAAACGGCAGAAGAGATTTGCAACATTATATATAATATACCCTGTTCAGAAGGATGTAAGATGTTTGCCTTTGAGTGTTTTGCAGCCCCACATGGCAGTGATGAAGGCGGTTCCCTTTAGTCAATAGTAATTATGTCGTGTTTGTTGAAGGTGTAGAATTGTTTAAATTGTGAGCGTAAGACCATACTCCTTGACACCGTTGCTACGATGTTGGATTTTGCATGTGCAGCCGATCCAAAGCGTGCCATGCAGATTGATGTGCTGGCATATGTTTGCACGTTCCGTTTCTACAGCACGTCCTGCTTGTGTTGCTCAATTGTTTGCTTTGAGGCTGCAGAGGTATGCTGTGCATGGCAGCGATGATCCAGGTCAAAATGTTACTTGGCTTGTTTTTGCACCCTCTCAAAGGTGCAGGGCCGCTGTGCCTTGAACAAAAAACAGCAGACGTTCCAAAAGCTCCATTTGTAAATTCAGCAATGCATGGTCCTTGATGTCATTCTCGACGTCACACCAGTCAAAGGGGAAGTGGCTGGCCAAAGACGTTTGTTCATTTTGGCGAACTGTTGGTTCAGCTTTGTCGCAGTTAGCGCTTCGACCAATTCTGATTTTCCAGCACGATTTCCCAAAGCAGCTAAGGAGGGAAGCAAATAAGATACATGTGATCACGGACACTTTGTGGAAAAACAAAACTGGCTAAACCATCTGGACGACCGAACGGAATAACACTTTGACCACTCCACACCCATTCTCTGTGTCGTAGATGAGGAGAATGTCATGTGAAGCCTCAGTGGTATTCGGGTCGGACCAGTGGCCCTCAGAGACAGGATAAAAGAAGTCTTTGTAGTCACTCTATTTGTGGACCCTTTTACAAATTGTTAGGTATGTCGTATTGCAATTTGCAAGCATTGTTGGATCTACTGTTCGACCCCCTTGTAATTGTAAATTTTTCAGGTGTCCAAGTTACATCCAACAATGCCTGCAAATTAATATACAGTAACTTGGACACCCTGAAAGATGTACATGTTCAAGGGGGTCGAAAATAGAGCGGTTATGTACTATACAATGTGCATGATTGAGACGAGACTTAGAGATGATTGCAGCATGAAGTGGATGAATAAAATTCAAAAGTCTATATAACCACTCGATTCAAAAGTTTTAATGTTGCATCCATAGTTTTCGACCTCTTGAAATTGTCCACTGTTCCCCGTGCCCAAGTTATATATACTGATTTGCATGCAGCTTGTACAATAAACTGCACAATTGCAACCAGCTGGTGCATATGATGAGGAAAGATATTAGGACATATACTGCTGAGACGAGTCGTTTCTTTGCCTTTCATGGACCTGGTGATGCAAATCATACCATGATGATAGATTATTAAACAAAATCAGACATACATTATATTTGTGTGTCCATGTGTTCTCGCACTCCCACCCCTCTCCCAGACACAGCTCATGATGCATAATATTAATTTCTGTTCCCGAACGAAAATGCCCCCGTAGCTAAAACTAATTATTATGTGTATATATATATATAGCAATGAATGCTCAGCACCTTCGGTGCGGGCGGATTTGTACCTGGGACAGTGCCAAAAACAAAAAGACCCCAGCTGTGTCAAAACGAGCCGCAAACTGATTTGAGCGTTCGGCTTAGGTTTGCTTCGGCATGGCAAATGGTGAAGAGGCGAACCTTGAGATTGTAAGCCTTTGCAATTCTGAAGCAAGCCTCTTTCAGGTCCTATTTGAAGAGGCTGGGCAAGCGGCTCGTGTTGTGCTTCAGCTGAAATCCTCAAGAGATTTGAAAGACAGGCTTCTCACAAAGGTGGATCTCATGAAGATGAGGTGGGAAGGAGCACTGTATATTGGTTTAGCAGAGCTGTGGTTCTGTTCTGTAAGGATGTTTGCAGTTCTGCACTCCCAGAGTTTGATTCAGTGTGTGATGATTTGGGCTCAAGTTGCACAAGCAAATCATAGGACGGCTTCGAATCCAATATTCCACTGCCAAACATACGTTCAATGAGCATTTTCCGTGAAATAGATTCCTTCTCACTCTCTTAGAGATAGAGCAAGCCATGTTCCTTTCTTGCAAGGCTGGAGATCGCTCCGGACTCCTGAAGAAACTTCCTGTTTGTGCCCAGGAGAGAGGTCATGTCCAATTTGCCCGAAGAAGGTTGGAAACCATTTTGTTCGTTTCTGGTTTGTTGGACTTCATCCCCGGACAGGTTACCAGAAGCTGCTTTCTTTGCAGGCGTAGCTTGAAAGCAGCTGGGAATTCGTTTAAAAGCGCAGCTTGTCACCGTGCAGGCCTGTTGTTGTTGGTTTTTGAATGGCCAATGGCATTTGCCGAAAGTGCCAACGGCGGTGTCTCGCAGGCTCGAACTGATAGACTGCCTTTTTGTGTGCCTCCTTTTTGTTGGTATAGGTTCAGCTGGCAGAGAAGCAGATTAGAGCTTTGACATCAGCTTCACGCGAGGCAAGATGTTACCAAACATTGCCAAGCAATGCAAAGCAAAAGTAAAAGCACAAGATGGAACCCATGAACCCAAATAGGGGACTTTTGAATATCGTCGATTGTGTGACACTCTTGTAGACTCGTTTGCAACAATTTTCTAGAACACCCCGTAGGAAACAAGTGTGAGGAAGTCTTGCATGACACTCTTGTATAGTACTAGGAAACTTGTGCGAGGCTTTTCAAACACACTACTGCGTGACACTCGTGTGTTCTGGTGTGACACTCTTCTATTGCGCGGTACTGTCGCAGAACGCCCTTGTGAGACACTCTTGCGGCCAAAAGCTCTTGTGCGGCGCTTTAGCGGGACTCTCTCTGTCTCTCTCTCTCTCTCTCTCTCTCTCTGTCTCTCTCTCTGTCTCTCTCTCTCTCTCTCTCTCTGTCTGTTTGTAGGATACTCTTGGGGGACACTCTTGTTTGACATTCTTGTAACTGTAAGAGTGCTCGATTTAACTAATTTGGGCTCGCGGAAAGTTCTATCAGCGTGCAAAGACTGTGTGTAGCTGAGCTGCAGTATATAGATGGGCGCTGTGTTTGGCGGCTATCATTTCTCTTTCTTGCCGTGCGCTGGGTTTTGATCTGATCTCAACTCAACCCAGTAGTGGCTGCTGCTGGTTTGCTGGTTTGCCGGTCTGCTGCTGCAGTTCGGTTTCTGATAAAGCCACATTGCAAAAACAGTCTCGGTCACCTTGTTTCGCGCTGAGCGCATGCCTGGCTGTATCTCGCTTTGTGTGGATTGTGTGGGAGACGCTTCGTTGACGTTAGAATACATTAGTTAATTAGTTTGTTATGTAGACACCGTCCTGCAGTATTCACTGAATGCCGCTGTGCCATTGGTTGTGCTTAGCAGCTTAGCAGGGTCCAAAGATATTGAGAATCATTTTTCAGGGCTATGCCTTTGGATTGCTACCAGCATGATTTGTGCCTTCGCAGTCTCCCAGCGGAGTACAAACCTTTTGACTAGTCTGTTTCAAGTCTGTTCCGGTGGGATTGCTACAGAAAGAACACCTTGCAACATTCAATGAATGATGTTGTGCCATTCAGATCTCTTAGGAGGATGCAATTTGTTTGACGCGTTTGCTTCAACACTGTGCCGTTGGGATTGGGAGCCCGTTTTGCTGCAGAATTGATGGATATCATCGCTGTGCGCATGATGCTGAAACATGCTGTGCCATTTGGGTATCCTTGCACTGATGTGACTTCATTGGCACAATGGATGATGTGGCTGTGACTTTTACCGCCTGATGTGACTTAAACTTGGCTCTTGCAGGGCAGTCTTGTGTGACACTCTTGTGGCACACCATTGTGCGACGGCAGCAGTTTTTCTAGGATCCAGGATACTCTTGTGAGACACTCTTGTGAGACCTGACATTCTTTTAGGACGCTCTTTCCTGTTACTGTTGTAGCACGCTTTTGTGTGGCGCTCTTGTGCCAGACTTCCTCAGCAAGTGATGTGGGAAGGGTCCATAAAATGATCCAAAATGTGTATTTTGCACGAGGCTTCCTCCAAAGACTCCAAACACCGCTTTGTGCCGCAACAAGAAGTGACAATTCCGGACCTTCGTGTAATACAGAAAAGTTTGCACCACACCACACAATATTTTGGCGTGACCGCTATTTTAGCTGAGACGCGTGTCACGAAAACACATCTTCGAAGCAACTGCAAAAGCAGGTCTTAATCAGAACCAATTTTAAGGGAACAAACAATTTCAACACCTCCCAAAAGCACACCTGGAAACTGGAAATGCAAGTCCCTAATAACACGGTTCACGTGCCGACCTGAAGCTTGCGCATGCGCTGAAAAATGACACCACCCACTTAGAGAAGTCACTTTTGGACGCCATCCATTCCATCCATCCAAACTGGTGGTACGGATCCGACTGCAAACGGTTGAGCACAGTTGACGACGGTTGCAAACGCAGAAGCAAGTCACGTGAACAAGACCTTACCCAAACCCTCAGAGATAAACAGGGAGCCCTTCGCTTCGCACCCGAGAAAAACAATCACACATCCGAACCAGAAATGCAAGGAAGACGACACTGGACAGACCGTTTTGCGTTTTTGGGGGTCCTGACCCCTGACCAGGTTCAGGCTTTGAAAGATCTTGCCACGAGCCTGCGTTCGGCAAGTTGTGCGAGTGTGTAATTTTGCACCATGAGGTCCACAAGCAGGGGCTGGTGCCGCGTTTTGGGTTCATTGCACTCAGCTTAGCTGTCCTTAGCTACATGGTCTTTGGAGCCTTTGGGGTTCGTGACACAAAGGCGGACAAGATCATAAAGCGTGGTTTGCGAATAGCTGGAGAGAAGCCCGGTTCTGGATTGGAGAAGGCGCAATTCATGCTAATACCGTAATACCAGTTACCAGTTGTTACAGTGTTACTTACTGACTTTCAGACGAACGTTTTGCAGGCACTAGATGCTCCTTTGCAAGCTCTATTCCGTGAGCAGCTCCACACTTTGTCCGCGCTGGCCTCACTTGACTTTTGGCTGCCGCAATCTGTTCACTAATTTTAACACTAATTGTATGGCTTACACACGTTTAGACAGCAATCCAACAAGTTGACACGGCCAAGAAACCTGAAAAGACCAAATTGTAAGGGAGATTGGCTAGAAAGGGCAGACCCAAAATCAGATGATATCAAATGCGAGAATCAATGGGCCTGAGTCTTCACTTTGGCAAGCACCTTGCAAAGATCTTCAACTCACAGAAAATCGGTTGCGCCGTGTGCTTATGTACCAATAAGGCCCGAGCAGCTGATCGCTACGAGGAAAGCATGGCGGCGAAGCCAAATCCTGTTGAGGCCACTGTTAGGGCATTTGCATGAAGTGGCCACCCACTTTTTGAAAAGCTCAATTGCCTAATTGCTTGCCAAGGCACACTTTACGAAGTTACAGTCAGAGAGAAACCGGGGTTCCAAACTGTGCAGAGTCTTGGTTGCAGGCCCGCCGGGCTGCTGAGGACTGCTTTGTTCAAGGCAACTGATTCGACAGGTGTTGCAGCCTTCAGCCAGCAAAGCAAAGTCAGTTTTGCTGGAGCAAACTGCTCATTGCGAGAGTTGGAGGTGCAGAAGGGCTTATGCGACCGCATAGCGACTGGAGCTACGAGGCCCGGTTCAAAGCATGATAGATGAAGCAAAGTCTCCAAGATGTCCACAAAGGGATGGTATAGAATAAATTGATGTAAATTGAGGACGAACTACGTGACCTGGTCCTCCGCATTGCAGACAGCTCCGGAGATGGGCTGAGTTTGGTCAGGCAAATTTTAGCTATTGATTATTGAGTATCCAGATGTACTGTATTGAGTACAATTTTCTATGCAAACTTCCATGGTGTGTAATTATATATTATATTGTATATTTATTGTATATACCTCTCGTGCCACGGTCCGGTGAGAAGCGTTGGCGGTATGCCAGCCACTCTGGCTGCACATTAAAAAACCCTGCACAAATGACATCAACTTCAAAAGTCCACAAAAGGACCCCGCCAGGACTCAATGATACGACCCGGCCCAGTATTCAATGTTCTGGCCAGTGCCAACAGGATGTGATCCTCAAGCAAAGGCACTGCATTAACAATTGCACTTTGGCACAATACTTTCCCAGCCGATTTAACATAGCAGGGATCAAAACTTCCCGGAAAAGGTTGGATGCGTGCATCCTTCAGCAGATACTGAAATGCTTGTTTGATTCTGCAAACAACTGAGTGGATCGTGACTACAGCGTAGTCACCTTCAACTTTAAAGCCAGCAAAGTGAAAAGCGACCCCAAGTTCGCAGAATGCAATTGCCGACCCCTTCTCAACTTTCCAGCGGCCAAATTGTGGACCATTCTATGGCCGAGTACCGCCACCTCTTGGGTGGGTCAACATTGAATGGAATTTTGGGTTTCCAGTTGAACTGCTCTTTGATCGGTGACCATGTCCACAGTGGGAATTGCAACCATGCAGCTGCAAGTGTAAGTGGTGGATCCTCATCTGTTTCTCGGGCTGTGTGTGCAGCAAGACTTCTGACTGTGTGTCCAATGGACAGTGGAGCTTCACGAGCCACTCTTGATTCAATGTAGCCGCGGCATACACATCAACATGGCCATATGTGGAAAAGTTGGAGCAATGTGATGGGCACATTGCTTGGCAGCACGGTCCGCTGCTTTGTTTCTTATATCGTGCTCAACGGTTGTACTGGTACCGGCTTGCTGAACAACAACTGGGTCCGGCATGTTGTTGGGGACCCTCGAAAAGATGCGCAGGTATCCAGTGCAGCTGCAAAGGTGTCGGGTGTTGCTGTTGCCGCTGCAGGTACAACTGTAGAATGGCGTGCCACCAATTTTGGCATTTCGACTCCGGTTTCACGACTTTGTTGGCAGCCAAACATTGAAAATTCCTCACAACAGACTGATTGTCACAAAAAATCACCAAGGCGTTGGTAGAGTGTGCAAAAGCAAACCAACAGCTCATAATTCTGCAACGTAGCTAGAAATGCCCCATCGACGCACTCTACCACTGCGAAGCAGGTTCCCTTGTTTCCCAATGATTGCAAAAGCTGCTGTGGTGAGCCAAAAGCTCTTTTGCCGGTGAACTGATCCGTCGGACCAAAATTCGTCCGGGTGGTCACCTGGTTCAAAGAGAAATGCATCGCCGGCGATGGCGATATCATATTCCTGTCGAAATGCAGAAAATCAATATGGGTGGTCAACATGACGAAGAAGACTAGAATGGACACACACACATATATATATATATACATATCATATATACATATCCGAGAGCAAGGAATGCCAAGAAGCTTGAAGCGAACTCAAGGCCAAGACATGCAATTGATACAAGAGCAGGGCAAGTTCTGGTCTCAGAAAATTCACAAAATATTTGCGCTCTTAGATTCAGTTCAGTCATGTTGTGGATTGTCGTGAAAGAGATATTGCCTGAGCGACCCAGATTGTCCAAGGCAGGGGCAGGGAAAGCATGTGACTCTCGAGGCAGGACGCAGCTGCAAGAGTTTGTAGTCATCCCAGGCCAAGACTGAATCTTACTTGGTTTATCTATGTTTAGATTTATATAGATTATTTTAGATGCACCTTGACTTCAACTTGTATGTTGTACATTCTTGACTCATATTTGTTTAAACAACAGACGAGAGGTTCCTTGTGCCCCGGAGGTAATTCGAAAGCTTCAGCAGCAATCAGAAGCTGTTCAACGCGAGGCAAGCTTCACGGTAGTTTGCAAAGACAAGCCATGGTGAGGTTGCAAACCTGAAGCATTTGGGAAAGTTGGACCGAGGTGGAGACCCGTGGCGCATTTCCATGGAAAGTGAACTGGCAGCTATCACCTTAGAAAAATGTATTTGAGAAGAGTGGCTGCCGCACGCACTCCAACTTATTCAGGTACTTTATCGAAAGCTCGCCTGTGGGGTTCCGAGGGCAATACAACCAGGCCGCACATTGAGAAGAGTGCACCAAAGCAATACGAAGAGCAAGATGGAAGTCCCAGGGCAGATCAATTGTGGAGCTGCTGCTGCTTCCAAGTCCAGACCCACGATTGAAAAAAAACTTGCTCAACAGAATTGGTTTGGGCCTTGGAAGTGTTTTGCTATGGAGTATCAGAGTTCACAGCACGCTGATTCAAACGGCTAATTTCTACATCAGTTTGAAGAACGTCCCCGTGTACGTAGCTATAAACATCCTGGCATCCAAGCAGCACCCAGTGTCGTTCATTGAGAAAGGCAGCTCAGTGCTACAATGCAGGGCAAACCTGGATATCACGTCCAACCCCAAAGCAGGCATCGATAAAGGCGCGTTTGTAGCTTCCTAAAGTCCTAAGCTAGCTCCTCCAGCCATCAAGAGGTTTTGGGCGAGGTCCCGGGTTGGTCCACTTTCGCGCTTCGAATTTTTGTCATACCCGCCAGTCACCAGCCCACTTGTGCAGTGCTCTTTCAACAAGATCACTTGGTGCAGCAGCGTCGGGGATCGGATTTCAACAGATTGAGCAGGGTTGTGTGTGCGCGCGCGCCTGGCGGAGCAATTACACAAACCACCGCTGGCGTTGAAGTCCTTACGAGCGAGGAAAAGCAGAAAAAAGCAAGCAGAAACAAAAGCAGAAGTTCAGCAGAAGTTCAGAAGCAAAGACTGGGAGATGCACGGAGTCATGAAGTGATGTGGCAGTAGCGAGAAAGGCGGGCGCAGTGATAAACGTAGAGCTAAATCGGAGCTTTTCTGCATACAGCACTTGCTGTTCTGCGATGCTGGGCGAGGCAGCACACACTAAGCAAAATAAACAAATAAGCTTGAAGGGAAAAAAAAGCAGAAGGGGGAGAGGCTACTCGTAACAAGGGCACATTGCTATTAGTAACAACTAAGCATTGTTCTTTAGCCCGCTCCCCCTACTAGTAACAAGGAGCTACTAGGGGCTCCTGGCATCGCTACTAGGAGCAAGGACGCTACTAGGGGCTCCTGGCCTTACTATATAGTAACAAGAAGCTACTAGTAGCGATGCTCTCTTTCAAAACGGAAAAGAGAACCCTTTTCAGATCTTTTGGACCGCCGATACAGCCTTGCCTTGTCCCAGCAAAACTAGCCAGCTGTCAGCATCAAGAAATCTATGCCACTCAATTGGACCCAACTACGCAGAAGGAATTGATATGTCACATGTCGAATTTGTTTTCCTTCAAAGGTTGTGTCTTTTTTTGCAACGAAAGCAATCTCAATTCAGCGAGTTAGATTCTGCTCAGGCCCTCTCAATCTTGCGGTTGCCTTCGACATGCTGCTGTGAGTTCTCGAACTGCCCTAACATTCCCAATCTAACTTTGGGGTTTTGTATGGAAAAGACAGTGCAGCCTGTGCTTGGTGCTTGTCCCGATATTGTGGCAGTCCTAGCCCCCAAAGGCATCATGCGGTGCAGAAAAGTGCGAGCTGGATCTAATTTGAACAACATCTGACAGATTTGCTAATTGGTCCTGTCTCCAATGTACCTGTATACCTACAGTACCTGCTAAGCAAACACTATGCATCAGGCAGCCAAGCTGTTCTTGGTTTTTTTCTCAGCCAGGTCCTCCGTTCACTTCCTCGACAACCTCGAGGAGTGGATGCGTACCAAGCAAAGACGGATATAAACGCTACAAAACCGACCAAGAAGAAAAGTATATTGGGACATTGGTCATAGTAGGCTGGAACCAAGTCCTGATAGTTCGTTTGGGCTAGATTGTCACAATCGGCCAACTGAAAGCATTGCAAGATATGCTGCCCCGTCAAGACTTACGCCAAGCCCCATTCAACTTGCTGGTGTTTCAAGTCATGACAGCCAGCTCTTGACTTTGGCAGGCACGGACCAGCCAAATGTGGGTCATCGTTGTAACATCCACACGCTCGAGGCCGACATAGCTTGGTAATGATTGATGATTCAAAAGTGTCCACAGACAGCTTTGGCAATTGTTTACAACAGTCACAGACTCACGAAGCAGCGTGATTGTGACGAGTAGATGTATGCTGTATGCCTAAAAAACTGCACAGGAGTTTCACAAAGACAAGAAAGCAGCAGCGAACAATGATCATGACGAAGATCGCTACACATAAATGAGGCAGAAATAGGCATAATTCAAGCGGAGGTCCCCAGATGCTTACTGGTCAAAGGATATAGATGCTTATCCACATGCACAATCCACATTGATCATAATCATAACAGGCATTTTGTTTTTGTGTGTGTGCTTTTGTCTCCTTAGCCGCTTAGCCGTCTTCACTTCGAGCCTGGACCTACGGCAGTTCGTGCGCAGCAAATCCACACCTTCCCAGCGCAACTCGCTTCCTGGTGTGTGTGTGTGTGCGCGTGTGCAAGTGTGCACAGATTGAGCGTGTGTAGACTCGACTGGAGAGAGAGAGAGAGAGAGAGAGAGATTCCAAACATTTCAGAATCCGTGGCTCAGTCTTGAGCCTGCTGTGATCAACCATGTGAACCTGTTTGCAGTGCCGAATGGCAGGTCCGGTTCTGAGCGGAAAAAGGATGGATCCATCAATCCTGTGGGTGTAGAAGCCGAGCAAGACAGAGCATTTGAAGTGGAGTGACATGAGTGACCTACCCCAAGAACTAACCTTCCTCGTAGGCTTCGGGGTTCTGCGTTCTTTCTGAAAATCCATTCTGAGCTTGCCTTGCATTCTTCAGGACAAATTCAAGCACAGTTTTGCACACCCTTTCATTGTCGCAAAATGCAAACGTATTCGCGATGCATGCGCCCGCGACATTGACGGCAGATTATTGTTGTTTCTGGTACGTCCTTTGCAAATGCAGAGTATTCTGTGTGCCACATTGCTTGGTAAACACGCCGCGGTTTTAGCCAACAAGTTGCCTTGTTTCTGCAACAGGCTAAACTTCCCGCCCGTAGAGTAACTAGAGAACAAACGGAAGTGACTCAGCTCCTTGTACCGCTTGTCTAAGAGCACGCATATTCCACCATTTTGCCGTAGAAGCCCTAGAAGGTGCATTCCGATCGTTACCAGCAGGCAAAGAACCAGCAAAGCCAACATGTTCAAATTGGAGCACAAAAGCCATGTTTCACATGTTTACTGTTTACATAAGGGCTTCGTGGGTTCAAGGCTTGAATACTTTGCACAGGAGGAGTGCCGCTTCAACCCAGGAAAACTGGAGAAAATCAGGCGGTTGGCGCAGGCCTGTTTGTCAGTGCATTCATTCCAAGACCGACAGTGTGAGGCAAGAACCCAAGAGCTCATGTGTGTCAGATAGGAACGTCGGATCATTCGGACCGCATAGGTATACTCCGACTGGCGATCTATTCGCGGTGATGGCAATTGTTACTATCGCGCCCAGGCCGCATTTCTGCAATCGCATTTGTTATTTGCTATGACCACGGTGTCAGATTCACTGTGAACTTGTGCTGAAAACACGTGGCCTTGCTGTCACATGAGTAAGGTAGCTTCAGCCACCTGAGTTCTGCTTTCACAAAAACACATTATATAGGTCTGTGCTTGCCCTCTGTACCAAGGCACTGTGATTTTTGGAGCCCTCGAGGCCTTGAAAAGGCCATGCACAACTGAGCAAAAGTATCGATCTGGCCGAGGCGTTGATGCTCAACCAGGATCAGCTGCGCCTAAATCAAGTGATGCTATCATTGCGGCAGGCCCTTTCTGGAGCCAGTGTTATTGATTAGTATGTAAATTGATATGTAACATGTACATTATTTTTGTCAGGTGCACTATGATTGTGTCGCTGAGCAAAAATGCCACAACCAGATGCTGCAGATTATGAGGCACAAGTTTTTCCAGTCCATTTCACGAGGCGCACATGGTCGATAAACTGCACGCGACAATGTTCAGGAGCTGGAGATGTCCAGATCAAATCGAACAGTGGGTCGCACAAGATGCAACTTTGGACCAGGTGCGATTTCAAAACTGTTAAGCAACTCCAGCGATGCATGAAAACCTATGAAGCATGTCAAGAATTGTTTGCCGGTTATATAGATAAATCCTTGTAAGATCTTCATGAAGGGAATCTCCTCTTTTTACATCGGGGATGGATTGACGCCCAAAATCTCAGGTCCTTTTATAGAGATGTGTCTATGTCTACCAGCTATATAGATCTCAGGTGTTCATTCAATTCTATAGCTTATGTTGGGGTAGTGGGGTTTGGAACCCCCCGTTCAATTTATATATACCTATCCTATAAATGGGGAACGTCATGATGCCCACTTGAATTTTTTTGCATAAGGATATGAAGAGCATGACTGGCGGAAAATGATTGCTAAATATAGAACGCAAGGACTCACATGACATGGCCGCCATGGCCATGGCCAATCACAAGAAGCTAGGTCAGGTTGGAAGTCTTGCCTACTGCCAATGTGGTGTTCAATACACAGGTATGTGTATGTTATAACTATCTATTGTTGTTTTGAAGCTTTTTGTCTATTGGGCAGCCTCAGAGTTTCCTTTGCTTTCATTGTGCTCCGTTTGCAAACTGCATTGGTCAAGGAATGGTGCAAACCCAGTGTGCTTGTCCAGGCATTGATACAGGCTTGTCGGCGACTGGTCCGACAATTCCTCATGAAGCCAGGGCCCGTGTGCTTGCTCACTGTGAAAGGGTGGAGTTCCCCTCTGAATTAGGGAATGATTTATGTAAGTGTGAGTATCCCGTTTCGTCAAACTCTCATGATTCTATGTCAAAGAAGTATATCATTGAAGCGGTTGTAGCATGTTGGGAATTCTGTGAAATGCTTTTTTAAGCATGTGACATGGCACCAAGTCAAACTATCCAGTGTCTTCTTTGTTGTTCTTGATGTGATGTAGATCTTTGCTTGCACCTTGCATTGCCTGAGGCGGGCCAATGAAAAGTCCCCAAGTGGCCTGACGTCCCTTGCTTGTAAGATCTGAATATGTTTTGCTACAAGCAGATGTGCTGGGTGCTATGTACAGTGCCAGCTTTTGAGGCTGTTTCAATCTTCAGGTACAATCAGCTGGTGAGGGCATTAGACAGCAGATACTCTGGCATGGAGGCCAGTCTTGTTTGCACCTGTTCATTTGACCCACAAGACATGAATGAGGACTTTTGCCAACATGTGGTGGATCCATTGGGACGTGATGTTGGCCCCTCAGGGTCTCGGATCGGAAACAGTTCCAGAGTCAAGAATAAAACGCAGCATTCAACTGGTCCAGAAGAGAGTTATAGCAAACAGGTCCTCTCGACCTAGAATGGTGTACTGAGATCTAGAAGATTTCGTTAAGCAGCGCTTGGATGTTGTTCAACTGAGGCTGAAACTTTAGCATTAGATGCCCTACCACAGCAGCTGGGCATTGGACTGCGCATGTGGATTCTGGATCGACGTGATGAGGCGATCTGTCTTAACTCGACGCTACCAGTATCGAAGTAGGCCACGGTGCATCAGACGCACGAAGCAGTGCTGAAAGCCCTAGGCCCTAGACTTTGCCAGTGACCTGAAAGAATGGAAAGACCAGAGCACACTTTGTCTCTTCATAGCTGGTTCCCGGTGCCCATTTTGTTCTCCCCACGTGCAAATTCCACAAATGCCCTCCCTCAAGTGGTCTTCAAAGACAAAGATAGGATTGGAAAGGGTGCTTGCTAACTAACAACTAGTATTGATGTTCTTTTGCAGCATTGAGTTTTGTGTATTTGCCTTCCTCGATCTCCCATGAGTTTTTGCACCATCATGCCTCAGAGAATGAAGGCAGAAATGGTGTCAAAGCTCAAAACTTCTACCATCTAGGGAGCAGGTGGCAAACAAAGGATCGTCTTACTGCACAAGCTAGTGCACCCTTCTCCTGACCGTGTGTTGTGTTCCAACTCCTCGCATCCGGCCGCACTTTGTTGCTTGCTGTTCCTGTGACTTGTATTGTGGGCATGCGTTTTCATGGGTATGTGAAGGAGTGACACGTTCATTCAAGGCTTGCAGCTCGGTCTCCTTTCAGAGGGTTGTCTTCTGAAACTGTTCAACCAAGAAGTCAAGTCCAAGGATGTCATTTGTTTGGTGTTGACCTGCTGCGCAAACAAGCCGGCTTGTGCATGAATGGTGTTGTTAAGCCTCTGTGGAAAGAACACGCTAGCGGCCAAGCTTGCAGAGAATCAATGCCAGTAGAATTCACTCAAAGAAACCAAGGAGCGCGGAAGAGCATTTATGCAAAAAATTGCCCACGGAAACTCCAATCCAGGGCGCGGAACCGTGCTGCAAGCTTCAGAATAAGCAAGCCGGCTTTCAGCACCGCTCAAGTCAAGCAAAATGGAACCCGAGGCACAAGGTAATCAAAGCGGGCTGGCAACTCACAGACAAGGTCCTAGCTACTGACCTTGTCTTCCACCAAATAGCAACGAAAATCCAACTGACAATCAACTTGACGGGTGAGATCATGACAATGATAAGAGGGCAAGGTCATGCCTTGATGCCTCAAAGTGGGGGCGTTGACTTCTGAAAGTGACTTTAAGCAGGGTGCGTTGGAAATGATTCAAACGTGTTATGCTGGCAATGGAAATGGAAGTGCTGAAACTGTTTGGTCGTCGTGTGAAACTGTCACTTGTGGGGATCAAAATGCTGTGAGGTGAGCCTTGTCAGCCTTGACACCCCAGGCCCGCAGAACGAGGCCCTGCACCCTGCTCCAGTGATGCACGAAGGGCATGTTCACTGGCGGTGTTTGCCCAATAGCATCCAATAGCACTTTGGACTTGCAGGTCGACGTGCATGTTCTCTTCAAGCCTGGACATTATGATCTACTTTATCCAGGCAAGTCATCGAATCGCTCAGGAGTGTTGTGCTCATATCCAAGGCTTGACCATTTGATCTGGGATAGTTTTTCCCGAGAGCGTCTGCGAAGGGTTTTTCGTAAAAAAACATCTGTAGAACTACGTCTCATCTACATCTTCGCATCTTCACATCTGCATTTGCACATCTACATCTCTGCTCATCTTCACATCTTCACATCTGCACATCTACATCTTCACATCTTCACAGTTGTTTTTTTGTCCGTCTCTTTCTCCATGTCTCAGCGGTCTGCGAAAAAGTTCGCAGGTCTTTTGACCTGGGGCGGCCGCAAGAAGCTTTCAGTTTGCCTGTCAGCTCCACCTTCTCATTGACCATTTTGGTCTTGGCGCGACAGTGGATGCATTCAAGCGTGGCACCCAGGCGCTGCATCTCATGAGTTGGATGCCCTGTCCATTTGGAGGCTTCCAGCGGCCGTGATGGCATGGGGAGCCCACAATCAAAGCGAGTGAACTGCTCCTCACTTGCCCTTGCCAGCATGTAGCTCCTGCACTGCTGACACCGGAGATAGGCCTTGTCCAGCCGCAAGAAGTGCTCACCTGGCGGAGTGCCTTGTGCTTCAAGAAGATCGTGGATGACCTCAAAGCGGGTCTTCCTGATTTCTTTGTTGGGAGTGGCATTGGAGCAGGGCGTGGAGAGGCCCTCCTTGATCTCTTTGAGGAGAGATTTGGCATGAAATCTTGTTTTGCATAGACTGCATTGAACTGCTGATCTGAATGGCTTCCATTGATGACCATGTTGGTCAGGACGGGCCAGGGAATGAGCCAAAAGGTCTCTCTTTTGTTGGATCAAACGAACCTTGGCCGGGCTGTCAACTTGATCCTTCTTGTGGAGGAAGTGTGATTTGTCACGCAGAAGAATATCCATTCGTTCAGCGGCCGCAAAGAGGATGTCACGAGTGTCCTCGTCCACATGTCTCTGCAGGTCAAGGATTTCTTCCGGCCAAGCCAAAAGGGCGGCCTGCTTGGCCTTGGCTTGCGTGTCCTTCTGGAAGAGCTTCCTGTTGTGGTTGGAGTCGATTTTGTGGGAGCTGAAGAGACGCAATCTGACCTGATCGAAATCCTCACGCTCGAGATCTTGACATAGATCCAGAAAGTGCTCGTAGGCTGCCATCCAGGACCACATTTTCCAGACAGAATGGCTGAAGATGGCCACGTGCACCTTGTCACTGACATGCATGGAGAGGTGCTTGGGGGCATAGAAGAAGGCCCGATTGCGAGTGGCCTTCCCGGGGCAAATGCCCGTGAGCGACGCTACTCTCTCTTTGGTGAGGACCTGATGAACACAGATGGCAAAGACATAGCGCTTGCGCCTGGGGTCTTTACATATCAGCGCAATAGCCACAGAACAAGCATGGCCAGTGGCAAAGTGAAAGTTTCCAGGTTCTCCCAAAGCCCTTCGCCGTTGAACGTTGGTTGCCATGCCCCCATCCTGGATGTAGGAGAGGCTCTGGGTCATGCCTCGATTCCAAAGCTCAGGGTCGGTCCCAACTCGAAGCCCTTCCTGCCATTGTGTTGGGAGGGCCTTGACTCTTCCTTCCCAAAAGCTGCGTTGCCAGAGAAGATGGATGAAAGTCGGGTCTTCTCCACAGAGCAGACATGAGCCTTCTTGTCCATGGAGGGTGCCTTGATGGAAGGCCCGCAAGGCTGTGCTCTGCCGTTCCGCGCGCATCTTCTGCGCGCTCAGGCTCACTGTCCAATCCAATGGCCTTTCCAGGTCGTGGCAGCCCTGGTAGCGTGTCAAGCGTAACAGGCGCTGCCAGCGGAATTCCTCAAGCAACTTGTGTTGCAGGTCAGGCCAACCATCCACGAGTCGAATCTCACAGTCAGGGATTCTGCCATAGCCTGTCCTCTTCCAAAGCTTGCCATTGGAGATGTCAAAGTCGTAGTCCAAAAAGTATGCCTGGAGAGCCTGCATGGGACCAGTGACATCATGCCGTCTGTATTTGGCCTTCAAAAGAAGATCCAGGGCCAAGTTCCAGCCAATCGAAAAGAGATGTTGAGCACTTTCATCAAAGGTGTGATACACCTTCCACACAGTGTGGATGTGTTGGAGGATGATGGAGTCCCCTGCGTCCGCTTTGGTCGGGTTCATGTCGTAGACAACATCCACCGAACCAGATCGCTGGAGCCTCAATCCTCTGGCCGCCATGACCCTGATCTGTTGTCTCCGCTGTGGAGCCAGACCGTTTGCTTGCGCCCCCCACATCATCACAGGGTGGATTGCACCTCGATGGAGTCTGTACTTGACGTGTGGATTCAGCTTCAAACGATGCGTGATCCCTGCTCGCCCTGCACCCTTGAGGTATCTTTTCTTGATCTGAATGACCCGCCGCCTTCTGGAGTTGGTGGCATCGATGCCCAAGTCGCGAAGGACGTTGTAGTGCTTTGGGTCAGGCTCCTGCAGATTGGCATCCAAGGCTTTGCCTACCTCTTTGCTGCTGGAAATAAAACCAGTTTTGTCTGGACCTGAAGGCCAGAACAGCTTCGCGGGCGACATAGTGAGGATCTGTGCCTTTGATGTCAAAGGAGACGTCATCTACCCATCTCTGCAAGAGGACTGGCGGGTGGTCCTGGACCAGGGCCCTGAGAGGCTTGTAGAGGACTAATTTGGCAATGGCAGGCGCAAGGCCAACTTCAGGTGAAGCGGAGGGTAGTGAAGATCCATGGCCGGATCTGCCAAGCAGGAGACCGTGTAGACCCCTTGGTGCTTCCCAATCTCAGCCTTGAGCATCCTGCCGACGGCGATCGAAAGGCAGTCTCGATGAGGGCGTGCTTGGTCCCAAGGCATGTCTCTGTCCAGACCCATCTGCCACTGCTGAAGTTCGAATTTCCTGTACCTGTTCCATAACCGGTACAGGCAGGATGTGAGTGCAATTGGACGTTCGACGCGCTCGTTCTTGGGTATCAAGCCGATGTTTGTGTAGCGCGTTTGGACTGGCAGCAAAGCAGTCTTTTCCATCTCGGTAAGGAGTTCAGCTAGCCGGCTCCATCCAATATGGAAGAACCTGCCGGCAAAGAAGGTGGTGCCTGAGTAGGCCCACAAATGATGGACAACGTCATGATGCTTGTAGTGTGTGGGCAGAACGTGTGGCAAAATTGCGTTCGCGATGTCGCAGCGCCATGCGGATTTGCGCGGCCTTGGTGGGAAGTGCGTTCGCGTCACGCCGTGCCACTGGCGAGCGCGAAACATGCTGGTGTAAACGCGGCGTGCCGCTGGTGAGCGGGACGATTGGCGGTATTGTGTGATGGGATTGCTTGCTTCTAGCGCGTGGGCAGACCGTGTGGCCAAATTACGTCCATGATGTCGCAGTGCCACGCGGATTTGCGCGGCCTTGGCGGGAAGCGCGTTTGCGTGTCGGCGTGCCACTGGGGAGCGCGAAACACGCTGGTGTAAACGCGGCGCGTCGCTGGTGTGCTTTAGATCAGTTTGATTCGAACCTCTTCAGCGTTGCGCTTGCACCGCGAGAAAAGGAACGGTGGGCGCTCCAGACTCTCCCGTTGCATCTGCACAACGGCGTCTACACACCCTCACCTCTGTACATTTACATTTTCACACGCTCACATCCGCAGATCTACCTCTCTACCTCCACACACACACACATCTGCGCATCTATATCACACCTGCGCATCCACACTGTCACTCCTTCACATCCGCCCCCTCTTTCTCTCTTTCTACATAGCTTTTCTCTTAATTTTAAGATGTCATGGCTCTTGGACAACTCGATTCAAACTATTTCCTTATTCGGAAGTGCTTGACAATCACCTGTCTCGCTCTCGGGCCAACCGTCGTCTAGTTAAAAAGATGGAAAAAGCCTTTTGCGCAGGCGTCCGACACTGACCTGTTCAAGGGATTCTGTGTGAAGCTTCTTGAGGCAATGCTTAATCACTGAGCCCGAATTCAATCTTCAGGTCCTTGTGAGGACAAAAATTGTTCTCAGACATGGCATCACCCTGCTCTTTGCATCATTCATGGCATGTTTGTCAGGCCCAAGGACTTGCACGGGAATTTGTGGCGTGATGACAGTAAAACTGAGATCATGCAGTTTTGAAGATGTGCTGCATTGCAGCATCATTTTTTCAGCGTGGGCAAAGCCAGCGAACAACAGAATACATCCGCAAGAACGTTGTTGTATGTAGCTTTGGCCTTTAATGCTGACGTTCGGAATTCAGAACACCTGAAGGACACATGAAGTGGACGCATACAGAAACTCCACATGTGACGGACCTTTTTTGCGTTGTGTCAGGAGGTTTTGTTCAGTATGCTACTGGGTGCCAGGGTTGAGTAATTTGTGCAGTGTTTGTGTGAAACCGGGCAACAACTGATTAACATTATGTTGCACCTTGCATTTTATTTCCATGGGATTTAGTGCATTTTGCCAGCTTGATTGGACATATTTGAGTATGATATCATCATGGACTCATATTATGATCAGGCACACATTCTCACAGCGCTTCATCCGCGTACCCAACACGTTGTTTGGAGCTCAGACCCCAATCGTTGATTGTTTTCCATCAGAAAAAGAACGAAGATCCTTTGTCGCAAAAGCGGATGAATTGCACTTAAGTATTCATGTTCATTCAAGCTATCAATCTTATGAATGAAGCAAACGCTACTAGGGGCTCCTGGCCTTACTACTAGGAGCAAGAACGCTACTAGGGGCTCCTGGCACCGCTACTAGGAGCAAGGACGCTACTAGGGGCTCCTTGAATGCTCACTGTTGAGGTTCTCATTGGAGACCACCAACAGCTGCGCCCGTCGACTGCGGTGAGGTCCTCAGAATCTTACAACCTACGGGGCAGCGATGGTAGTATAATTGCCCAAACCAATCCAAGCACATTACGTGCAGAGTCCGGAGGCTGAGTGTTCGCTCAAGAAGTGAAAGCCAAATAGAGAATGAGTCTGTTGTATAGCATATGAGCGTCGTTCAAAAACCCACCTCTTCCTTGTTAGTAATCGAATTTCAAAGGCTGATTTCGATTGTGCTCTCACTGCAGTCGCGAAAGGTTCGCGAAGGTCCTGCGAAAGGTCTGCGCAAGTCATGTTGGTGACCTGGCCACGCTGCAAGAACAATTGCTCTTCAGACTTCCGATTGCTTTTTCCCGGGTTGGGAAAAAGCAAATTGGAAATCTGAACCATTTTGCTTTTTCCCGGCCCGGGAAAAAGCAAATTGGAAGTCTGAGCCTTTTGCTTTTTCCAGGCCTGGGAAAAAACAAATTGGAAGTCCGAACCATTTTGCTTTTTCCCGGCCCGGGAAAAAGCAAATTGGAAGTCTGAGCAAACTGGCCTGACTGAGC